TCAGATGGTGTAGTCCGGCTTGGCAGGGTAGGTGCAGCCTCTCGAAGGGTAGTTTCATGGGCCCAGAATAGGGTACATAAGGGGTATCTAAGGGGTACCCTGTTAAAGGGCCGAAGTAAGGGACCATGTAACTACCCAAGCTTTAGGAAGCCTAGGGTTACTAGAGCTTAGCAGGGTTTGGGGTCGCTTTGCAGCTTCCATGCCTCACCCATATTCTACTCCCCTACGACTTTAGGTCTCAGCTTCCAGAGAGTAGAGGAGGCTGGAGGTGTAGGATGGAAGGATTCATGGAGGAGATTGGTGTCCAGCCTGTTGTGTGTGGAGGGGGCTCGTGGGCTAGGCTCTTTTGTTTAGGACACCTGCCGCTCGGCATACCGGGCCGCCTTCAAGCGCGTCAGACAAGGAGGTCAGGGCTTGTATACCTACAGTAAACAGGCCTTGAGGGGTCTCCTCTCAAAGGAGGTTTTAAAGTTTTTTGGGGCTCAGAGGTGCCCTAAACCGCAATCCTCCACTATCCAGAATCCCCTAAGCTCGGCAAAAGCCCAGGGGTTTAGGGTTTGGGGTTTCCCCAGCGAGCTGAATCGACCTCCCCCCTGAACCCTGAACCCTAAACCCTAAACGCGAAGACCTCCCTCCCCGACCTGAGTGCTGGATCACCACCGAGGCCGAGTAGGAGCCAGCTTTGCAGCAGGCCTGCCGTGCTGTCATTATTGGGTTCTTAAGGGAGGGGGTTTAGGGTTTAGGGTTTAGGGTTAGGGTTCAGGGTTTAGGGTTTAGGGTTTAGGGTTTAGGGTTTAGGGTTTAGGGTTTAGGGTTTAGGGTTTAGGGTTTAGGGTTTAGGGTTTAGGGTTCAGGGTTATTTCAGTGTTTTACGATACTAGGGGTACCTTATTTGGGGTCCTTATAGAAAGGAGATCCTACTAGCCCCCATCTAGGGTTCTTCAGGGAGGGGCTTAACAATTTATAGCGTCCTTAAGGGAGGGGGGTTTAGGGTTTAGGGTTTGGGGTTGGGGTTTAGGTTTAGGGTTTAGGTTTAGGGCTCAGGGAGGTTCAAGGGGGCTATGTAGCCCAAGGCTCCCTAATCCTACCCAATACTCCTTGAGGCTCCCGAAGCTTCCCTCAGGTTGCCTAAATACCTGCCCCTTCATGAACCTCCCACCTCCCTTATTGACCCTATAATTTTGGCTGCAAGAGTTTTTACGGTCTTTACTAAACCCTAAACCTCTTAAAACCCCAGGGTTTAGGGTGGTCAGCTCTCCAGGGTTGAGGGCCTGCAGTAGAATACCTTTGGGGGAGGGGAGGGGGGTACACTGGAGCTGGTGCTATAGCCAGGGCCCCGAACCGTAGATGCGAAGCCCTCACGGAACCAAACTCTAGATCCTAAACCCTAAACTCTAAACCCGAAACCCTCAACCCTCTAAACCCTAAACCCTAAACTCTAAACCCTAAACCCTTAACCCTATAAAGCCTAGCACGTTTTCCATTTTGGGGTGATTGGGGGGGGGGGGGGGTTGGCCGGTGAGGCTCTGGCGTTCGGGGGTTGGGCTGCAGACTGGGCCACGCAAACCCTGTAGACACCCAAAAACTCTAATCCTTAAGAAATCCTTGAACCCTTAACCCCAAACCCAAACCCCAAAACCAATAAACCCTATAAACCCTATAAACCCTTTAAACCCCACAAACCCAACAAACCCTACAAGCCCTAAACCCCCGAAACTCCCTAAACCCCCTAAACCCTAAACCCTATAATCCCGTAAACCCTAAAACCCAAAATCCCATAAACAAGCCCCACCTCCATGTCCTTGCCCTTGGCCAAGGCCGCCAGGAAGCCGCCGACGAAGGCGTCGCCGGCGCCGTTCGTGTCCACCAGCTTCTCCTTTTAAGGGTTGAGGGGGGGTTTAGGGTTTAGGGTTTAGGGTCTAGGGTTTGGGGTTTAAGGTTTAGGGTTGACGGTTTGGAGGTTTCGGGTTAGGGGTTTAGGGTTTGGAGGCTTTGGGGGGTTGAGTGGGGGTTCAGGGGTTTTGGTTGTTTGGGGTTTGGAGGCTTTAGGGTTTTATGTCTTCACGGTTTGGAGGACTTTTTTTTGGGGGGGGGGGGGGGGGGGGGGATTAAAGGGGGGGGGGGGGGGCGGGGGGGGTTTTGGGGTTTAGGCTGGCAGGAGAGGGGAGTGTCCAGCGATGCTAGGATTCCGGGATTCAGGCCTGGCTTCGGGGGCTGCTGGGGCTTTGGAGGGTAAGGCTTAGTTGTTGGGAGAGTTGCCCTAAACCCTAAACCCTAAACCCTAAACCCCCTAAACCCAAACCCTAAACCCCCCCCCCTCTCTGCCGCGCCGACTGCCGTCCTTGGGAAGCGCGATCACGGGGTACTTGGTCACCTCTCCACGCAGGGGATTCTGGGGCTTCGGGAGCTCAGAACTGGGTTTAGGGTTTAGGGTTCAGGCTTAGGGTTTAGGGGTTTGCAGGGTTTGCAGGGTTTGTAGGGTTTGTAGGGTTTGTAGGGCTTGTAGGGTTTGTAGGGCTTGGGGTTTAGGGTTGAGGGTTGTATAGGGTTTAGGGTGAGGGTAGGGTTTGTAGGGGTTTGTAGGGTTTGTAGGGCTTGGGGTTTAGGGTTGAGGGTTTAGACTTTAGGGTTTAGGGTACTCTAAGACTTTGAACTGACAAAAACCTTAAAGACCCGAAGCCGAAACACCTTATAAACCCTCAAGTTTGATCCTCGCGGCCCCAAGCAGCATGTAAGATGCCATAGTTTCCCCATAAAGGCACCATCGGCCCCTGTTAAAGAGTGTACTTATTTCTTTATATTTATATTTATATTTATATTTATATATATTTCATGATTTTTTTTTGTTTGGGGGGGGTGGGGGGGGGGGGGGTGTCCTGGCTAGCATCCCTAACAGGACACCCAACCAACCAACCAACCTACCTACATACATACATACATACATACTGTGGCATGCATACATACATACATACATACATACATACATACATACATACATACATACATACATACATACATACATACATACATACTGTGGCGTACATACATACATACATACTGTGGCATGCATACATACATACATACATACATACATACATACATACATACATACATACATACATACATACATACATACATACATGCTCATATATATATATATATATGTATATATATATATGTATGTACATATGCACACATCTGTATATACACACAGAAGCCCCTTTAAGCAACCACCAAAACCATGCTCAACCCAATTCAAAAGATACGTACCACCTAGCTCGCACGGAAACATGAAACCGGGTTTATTTCCTTGTATTCCCAATAGGACAACAATAATATACACTCGCCAATATTAAAACAGGAAGCTTGTAGAAAACTCCCTAAACCCTAAACCCTAAACCCTAAACCCTAAACCCTAAACCCTAAACCCTAAACCCTAAACCCTAAACCCTAAACCCTAAACCCTAAACCCTGAACAGCAACAGAAACCCTGCTTCAATGGAGCCTGGCCTGGCCGCGGATGGCCACGACAGTGGGGTCCGCCCCCTGGGTGATGACCACCTTCCTGTATGGCTTGCTGCCTGGACGCGCTTTCTGGGGTGCAGGGCCCCAAACCCTAGCCCTAAACCCTAGCCCTAAACCCTAAACCCTAAACCCTAAACCCTAAACCCTAAACCCTAAACCCTAAACCCTAAACCCTAAACCCTAAACCCTAAACCCTAAACCCTAAACCCTAACCCTAAACCCTAAACCCTAAACCCTAAACCCTCCTCAACACCTCTTGAACCCTAAAGCCCCAGCCACGAAAACAGTCTTACCCCAAAGCCCCTCAGCCTCTGAGCACGAAACCCCTGAGCCCTAAACCCTCAACCTCGCAGAACCATGAATCCTAAACACACCAAAACCTTTAAACCCCAAATCCCTTAACCACTGAGGCCCCCTTCACCCTGCACCCCTTCCCGTGCCCCAAGTCCGCTGCAAGCACTACTTGTTACTGGCCGAGGGGTGTAGGGGCTTAGGGTTTATAGGGGCTGAGGGTTTCGGGGTTTAGGGCTGAGGCTTGCGCATCCTGCCAAAAGTTCGCGACTCCGATTGACGAAAGCATAAAGGGAAAGGCAAATCCTCGAAAACATTGACATGGTTCAGGGTTTAGGGTTTAGGGTTTAGGGTTTAGGGTTTAGGGTTTAGGGTTGAGGGTTGAGGGTTGAAGGTTGAGGGTTGAGGGTTGAGGGTTGAGGGTTGAGGGTTGAGGGTTTAGGGTTTAGGGTAAAGGGAAGGGCAAATCCTCGAAAACATTGACATGGTTTTGTTTCAGAGAAGATTTTGGACATGCTTTTCAAGTATAAATGAAACGAGGGCTTCTGAATGGATGCAATGAAATAATCACGAACTTTCGTGCTCGCTACGATATGCTATGTAATTATCATATTTAAATGTCGCCTCCGACCCAAAATTATATGGGGCTTCCGAGGTATGCTGGGAATCCACCTTCTTCTCTCTTCTCCAAAACCAGTGGCGTCGGTACAAACAGCTCGATGTTGCCCCCCATTTGACAAAAATCGTAATAATAGTAATAACAATAGTAGTAATAACTAACCCCTACCCCTAACACCCTAACACCCTAAAACCTTTCTTGCAAACCTGAAAGATGCCGGTTGCCCTGCGTGCGTGTTGGCCACCAGCGTTGTGCCCCAGAGGCGGAAGGTTACCCACTTAGCACCTCTAGGTAGCCCAGTAACCATATCAAAATGAGGGTTCAGGGTTTAGGGTTTAGGTTTTAGGGTTTAGGGTTTAGGGTTTAGGGTTTAGGGTTTAGGGTTTAGGGTTTAGGGTTTAGGGTTTAGGGTTGGGTACCCTTGTTTGGACCCTAAGCCCTAAACCCTAAGCTGTTTAGGGCGGTCTAGAGAGACCGATACCAAGCGATACACCCTGCGCCACACACCCCGCACCCTGGCCTGCCATGGGCACCAGGGACAAGCGCGTGGCGATAAACTCAACATCCTTTGGCTGGGACACTTGAGGTATAGAGTTCCAAGGTGGAGGGTTTGCGGGTTTAGGGTTTAGGGTTTAGGGTTTAGGGTTTAGGGTTTAGGGTTTAGGGTTTACGCAGGGTCTTAGCCTCAACCCTTGTCAAGCCCCGAAGGCTTTCGGGGCTCCAGCTCGAAAAGGAGTTTCCTAGCACGCCTGGGCTTGCATTTTGGAGGGGAGGGGCGGGGGAGAGAGAATTCGGGCTGTACCTTCGAAGCTCAATGACCTTGACTGGTGAGCCTTTGCTGTTGGGGTTTGGGTCTTAGGGTTTAGGGCTTAGGGCTTAGTTGCAAGTAGTTCGGAAGTCTCGATTGGGAAAGCCCAGGTGCTAGCCGTGCACGGGCTTGAGGGTGCTCTGGCGTGGGAACAGTCGAGTTCAGGATAAAGGCTATACTGTAGGTCATGTTGATGGCCTGTTGAAGTTTATAGGCTTTGGAACTGAGGTGCAATTAGTGTCTAGGATTAATAACCAGACCCCCCGAACCCCCTGGGGCCCCAAAACCCCGATCTCCTGAACCGCGCCGGATGTATAATGGGGTGCTCTCAGTTCCTCTCCTTGGGTGTATAATAGGGTTTCTTTTAAGGTTTTTTAGGGTTTGTAGGGCTGCTAGAGGTTGGGGGGGGGGGGGGAGGTAGGGCTTTCAGGGGTTTGGGGCCCTCTGCTGGCTTTAAGTAGGGTACAGGATCCCCTCTTCCCCAACCCTAAACCCTAAACCCTAAACTCTAAACCCTAAACCCTAAACCCTAAACCCTAAACCCTCGCAACACGGGCCTCGGTGTCCCAGCCGACAGCCTCAGCGTAGGCCCGGGCCTCCGTCTCGTTGCCGAAGAGATAGTCGCCTGGGACGGCGCGGTGCTTCAGGGTTTAGGGTTTAGGGTTTAGGGTTTAGGGTTTAGGGTTTAGGGTTTAGGGTTTAGGGTTTAGGGTTTAGGGTTTAGGGTTTAGGGTTTAGGGTTTAGGGTTTAGGGCCGAAACCCTAACAAGCCCAATACCTCCATTTTTGTGGGTTGTGGCGATACGCCCCTCCTGAAAAGTTTCTACGCAAAGGATTTTTTGCGGTTACAAAGAGACTCGGGTCGCCAGCTGTACATGCGGTTTTGGGGGGCCCTTTCGCTGCAGAGGTTTAGTGCCTCGAGTCAAAAAAAAAAAGGCACCGGAATGCATTTCGGGGCTTCCAAGGATCTCAGGGGGCTTGGGGCCTAGAGGGTTTCATGCCGGATGTAGTGTCGAGCGCTTTCACAAACCCTTAAGCCCTAAACCCTTTAACCCTAAAACCCTGAAAGCCCTTAAGTCCTTAAGCCCTTCAGCCCCTAAAACTCTTACTCGGCTGTCCAGTAACCTAGGATTAAAAAGGGTGCCCTTTTTGGCTTAAAGAGGTTGATAAGGGAACCTTAACCCCTCAAAAAGGGAGTAGGGGCACTACCGGGCATCCTAGCTTAAGCCCTGAGCCCTTCGAAGGTCCTAGGTTTAGGGTTTAGGGTTTAGGGTTTAGGGTTTAGGGTTTAGGGTTTAGGGTTTAGGGTTTAGGGTTTAGGGTTTAGGGTTTAGGGTTTAGGGTTTAGGGCCTAGACTTCAGGGCTCAGAGAAAGCGCCGGGTGGCAGCAAGGCAGCGTCTTCTCAAGCACGGCCCGGAAAGGGGGCACCTGCCAGATCACTCGCACTCGAAGCACGGCCTTAAGATCGGTGTAGGGTTGGGGTTTAGGGTTTAGGGTTTAGGGTTTAGGGTTTAGGGTTTAGGGTTTAGGGTTTAGGGTTTAGGGTTTAGGGTTTAGGGTTTAGGGTTTAGGGTTTAGGGTTTAGGGTTTAGGGCTTAGGGTGGTTTGGAGCTACTCTTCGTTACAGGATTATAAGGGAACTCGACCCAGGAGTTACCTAGGAATCAAACGGGCACCTTTCTTGGCTCTGAGGGGATTCTAAGGGAACCCCCTACCCTCAAAAATAAAAAATAAGGGCCGACTCCGAGGCCTAGTTTGCCATGGGGATTTAGGGTTTAGGGTTTCGGGTTTCGGGTTTAGGGTTTAGGGTTTAGGGTTTAGGGTTTAGGGTTTAGGGATGTAGAGTTGGGGTCTAGGGTTGAAGGCTTAGGGACCCTAGACACCCTGAAACCCTAAACGCCCTACACAAACCCCAAGGCTCTCCCCCGAGCCTGCACGATGAACAACCCCTTTAAAAACATCCTTTAAAACAAAAAACTAAACAACCCTGAAAACACCCCCCCCCACAAAAATAAATAAACAAATAAACAAATAAATAAATTAATAAATCAACTAATTAAATAATCATAAACCCAAACCCTACGCCCATATCCCCCGAGCCTGCACGATGAATGGCGCCGAGAGGTTCAGGCAGTAGACGGCGCCCGTCTTCAGCGTCTCCTGGGAGGCCATCCTGCGGGGGGCAGCGGAATTGTTTGGGGAAATTCAGGGCTTTTAAGTAATTCGTTTATAGGGGGTTTTAGGGTTTCTTGAGGGTTCAGGGTGTGGGGGTTTGGGGGTTTAGGGTTTTAGGGTTTTCGGGTTTAAAGTTTAGGGTTTGGGGGTTTGGGGGGTTGAGGGTTTGGGGAAGAAGGGTTTCGGGTGTCTGGGGGGCTTTGGAGCTGAGAGGGTCCAGAATGTGTGAAGAGCACGAGGGGCTGAGGGCCCTGTAATGCCCGAAAGCCCAGAACCAGCAATCCCACAGGCGGGGACTCAAAAGACCCTAAACCCTAAACCCTGAAACCTAAACCCTAAACCCTAAACCCTAAACCCCCAAACCCCTAAACCCTAAACTCATTGAATCACGGGTCTCGATGGACTCGGGAGACACAGTGATGAAGAACCCGGCGCTGTACACGATCCTGGGTCGGCGAAGGCTAGGGACCCCACAAACATCTAGAAACCCTAAACCCTAAACCCTAAGCCCTAAACCCTAAACCCTAAACCCTAAACCCTAAACCCTAAGCCCTAAACCCTAAACCACAAAAAGGGTGCGTGGCATCGAAGCTTCCGAGCACCAGCGAAGCCCTAAAGGCTAAATTCTTAGCTAGGTTTAGGGTTTAGGGTCTAGGGTTTAGGGTTTAAGGTTTAGGGTTTAGGGTTTAGGGTTTAGGGTTTAGGGTCTAGGGTCTAGGGTTTAGGGTCTAGGGTGTCGGGTTTCGGGTTTAGGGTTTAGGGTTTAGGGTTTAGGGTTTTGGGTTTTGGGTTCAGCGTTTAGGGTTTAGGGTTTCGGGTTTAGGGTTTATAGGTATCATAGGATTTATTGGGTTAAGGGTTAAAAATTAAGGCTTAGAGGGTAATATAGGTATCAGCCACGCATGTTTTCTGGGTTTACGTATACTGGACCCCCCCCCCCCCCCCCCCCCCGCCCCTAAATAGTAGGATTCCCTTATAACCGTAAACCCTAAACCCTAAGCTCTAAACCCTAACCCTAATGTTGGAAACCACATGGAAGGGGGGGGGGGGGCTGGGCTGGGCTAGGGAAGGTGTGTAAGGGGCCCCTGCTAAGATCGACTACCAATTCCCTAAACCCCCAAAAGCCCCCAAACCCCCTCAACCACTAAACCCCCCCAAACCCTAAACCCTTAAACCCCAAAACCCCTGAACCTTGCAGGTTTCAGGGAGAGTCTTGCCCTGAACCCCACAAATCCCGAACCCTTGAGCCCCTCACACCTCAACCCTAAACCCCAAACCCCTAAACCCTACAGTAAACTCCAGAAAGTTGGAACATGGTTTAAGGATCATTACAGCTGGGATTCCCGTTAGTATACCTTCTGGGGTAGGGGGAGAAGGATGTTCTAACTTTTTGGACTTTACTGCAAGCCCTAAGAGGCTTCTAGATTCTTTGACTTCGGGTTTCGAGGGAACCAAGGTTCATATGTAGGTATCATCTGGCTTAGCCTTGGAAATCCCAAAAAAGAACCAAACAAAAACAACAAACCAGGCCAGGATCTTCGCATTCTTCAGCGTGTCCATGTTTGCCTCAAGGTGGCTGGCCTGGGGCCGACTCAGCACAGACTAAGGGTTTGTAGGGTTTAGGGTTTAGGGCTTAGGGTTTAGGGTTTAGGGTTTAGGGTTTAGGGTTTAGGGTTTAGGATTTAGGGTTTAGGGTTTAGGGTTTAGGGTTTAGGGTTTATAGTTTAGGGTTTAGGGATTAGGGTTTAGGGTTTAGAGCTTAGGGTGTAGGGTTTGGGGTTTGGGGCTTAGGCTCCCACGAAGGTTCCTTTAAATCGTACTCAAATCCCCAGACCTAAACCCTAAACCCTAAACCCTAAACCCTGAACCCTGAACCCTAAACCTATGTTAAGTGGGCGGTTGGAAGCCCGAGCCCCAAAACCCCAAAGCGACCGAAGATCAAAAAAATCCTAAACAATCCAATTCCGGCACGAAGCTCCCTAAGAAACCAACTTGAGGCTTCAGGGCTTTGAGCTTTGGAATTCAGGGCCTAGGGAAGTTTAGGGTTTAGGGTTTAGGGTTAGGGTTTAGGGTTTAGGGTTTAGGGTTTAGGGTTTAGGGTTTAGGGTTTAGGGTTTAGGGTTTAGGGTTTAGGGTTTAGGGTTTAGGGTTTAGGGTTTAGGGTTTAGGGTTTAGGGTTTAGGGTTTAGGGTTTAGGGTTTAGGGTTTAGGGTTTAGGGTTTAGGGTTTAGGGTTTAGGGTTTAGGGGTTTAGGGTTCCCGAACCGCACTAAATCCTACGCCCTATGCCCTACACCTACCTTGTAGTTGTTCGCCGCGTGCAGGTTCGTGGTGAGGGATCGCTCCTCTCAGCCCCCAAAAAGTGGTTCAGGCCCCTAGAGCCTAAACCCTAAACCCTAAACCCTAAACCCTGAACCCTAAACCCTAAACCCTAAACCCTAAACCCTAAGCCTAGAAACCCTAAACCCAGGGCTTAGGGGTTCAGGAGGGTATGGCTGAGGTTCACAAGGCTTTGGGGTTGATAAGGCCTCGGGTTGATACGGTTTCGAATACCAGGGGCTTAGGGTTTAGGGTTTAGGGCTTAGGGTTTAGGGTGTAGGCTTTGCTTGGAGGTTCATGGCACTCATTAGCGAGTTATAACTTCTAACTGTAAACTGTACTTTTTCCCATACTAGGGCACTTGGGACTCATAAGTGGGGTTATAAAGTACAGTTTGCCGTGAAAATGGGTTAATTAAGTACCATGAACCTCCAAGTAGGGCGCACAGACACAGGCCAAGGAGGCGCTTGCGTTTCGGGTGAACATCCTGAGATCCAGAACCTTAAGCCCAAAGATCTCAAACTTTAACAGGGCCTGGGGTGTAATTCAGGGTTTAGGGATACCCTAAACCCTAAACCCTAAACACTAAACCCTAAACCCTACACCCTAAACCCTAAACCCTAAACCCTAAACCCTATCCCCAAAGCCCCAAGACAACCCCAGCGGAGTCCTTGTTCATAATCGTCACTGCGCAGGCACCCGTGGGCGTCGTCTTGTCAATCATGTACTTGCAGTCCACGCCATCCTAGTGTGGGTTTGGGGTTTGGGGTTTGGGGGTTTAGGGTTTAGGGTTTAGGGTTTAGGGTGTAGGGTTAAGGGTTTAGGGCGTACATGTGGACCCTGAACCCTAAACCCCCCAAAAAACCCTCTGAACCCTAGAAAGCCTAGAGGCCCTGTAAGCCCTATAAACCCTACAAACCTACAAACTCCATGAAGCCCATAAACCCTCTTAACCCTAGAAGCCCTATAAACCTAAAAGCCCTGAACCCTAGACCCTCCACCTGTACATATAGATCGAAAACTTGGTGCCAATCCATGGTTCACAACAACAGTTGTGGGTGTAGTCACACATGACTGTCGCGCGTCATCACATTGCAAGCGTTTGCCTCAGAACCCGAACAACACCACTAAACAAACTGAAAACGCCCTGCAACCCTAAACCCTAAACCCTAGATCTTGAGGGGTGTGTTGGGATTCGAAGCGTAGGCCGGAAGATGTAGCTTCTACTGAGGAATGAGGGCCCCCCCACATCTACCAAACCTCCTCAAACCCCCAAACCTCCCACACCAACGGTTTAGGGTTTAGGGTTTAGGGTCTCCAAACCCTAAACCCAAGACCCCAAAGCCCTAAACCATAACAAAGCCAAAGCCTAAACCCCAAACCCTAAAACACACAAACCCAAAGACACCCCGAAGCGCAAACCCGAGCAAGACTCCGAACCCTAAACCCTAAACCCGTAACCCTAAAACCAAATCCCTAAACCCTAAAAGCCCCCAAAGCTGAGAGTTCGCCATTCAGCGCATTTTCGAAACGTACAGTGCCGACCCACCCACCCACCCTCCCAACCCATCTCCACCCACCCCCCCCCCCCACGCACATCCCCGCAATTTCAGTTGAAAGAATCTATTACAACTTGATTTTGTCACAATTTTCAATTGAAAAATATTGACAAAGTGATTAAATAGTGAAATTGCGGGGATGTGCGTGGGGGGGGGGTGGCGGTGGGTGGGGGGAAGAAGCTCGGGGCCCGGATCCCTAAACCCAAGCTCCGCTAAAGGAGCCCTAAGACCTACAGCCGTGCCTTAAAGTACTTTAGGGTTTACAGGGTTCAGGGTTTAGGGTTTAGGGTTTGATATGAACTATGAATCCGAAAATTTTAGGGTAGTAACCTATACATGAAAGGTATATAGGCGTGGGGGTTCTTAAGGTCAGCTCTACAAGCAAGTCCTGAAACTCTTACCAAAAAAGCAAAAGCGAATTCAATTCACGGGGTTTAGGGTCTAGGGTTTTGGCGTTAGGGCGCCCAAACATATTTCCTCTGGCCTAGGGAGTCTACATTGAACCCTACAAGCACGTGAGCTCATGTCGTCGGATTTTTGTTGGGGGGGGGGGGGGGGGGGGCTTGGGGTTTATGTCTAAAGGGGTTAGGGTTTAGGGTTTGGGATTTAGGGTTTAAGCTTTAGTTTAGGTTTTAGGGTTTAGGTCTAAAGGGGTTCGGGCTTAGGGCTGAGGATTTCAGAGCGATACCTGGCCTTCTTGCATGCGTCAATCAGCTTCTTGCCGAAGTCGTCGTCACCTGGGCTGGCCCCCAGAAACATTCTGAAAAGGGTTCAGGGTTACTGTTAGAATGGGGAATGGGTTTAGGGTTTAGGGTTTAGAGTTTAGAAAATTTAGGGTTTACGGCTTAGAAAAAACAAACAAGAATCCCAGCTTTGGACCTAGTCACCGATGCAGCCCATGTAGGCAGTCTTGCCCGGCTCCTGGTCTATGTATTCGGGGGGTGGGTTGTCCCCTTCAAACCCTCCAACATATCCCAAGGGCTGTCTCCCTAAACCCTGTAAGGCCTAAACCGTAGACCCTAAACCCTACATCCAAAACATGTCCTACTCTGGGCTCGTGGAGGATCTCGGGCCTTCAGGGCGGCAAGTACGCGCGAGGGCTTAGGAATTGCAGACGAGCCCTAAACCCCCTCCAGTGGCCTAAAGCTGCTATCGAAACAGAGGGGGTTTCTCTCTCGGGCCCTAAACCCTAAACCCTAAATCCTCAACCCTAAACTCTCTACACCCGAAACCGTACACCAGAACCCTTGCTTTACAGTGCGTCCTGGAGCATCCACTGCGCGACGCGGATGCTGTTCTGCGTGGCGCCGCCTGCCACGTACACGACCTGCAATGGGAGGGCTCTGCGGGTGCACAGTTCAGGGTTTAGGTTTAGGGTTTAGGGTTTAGGGTTTAGGGTTTAGGGTTTAGGGTCTAGGGTTTAGGGTTTAGGGGTTAGGGTTTACCTCTAAACCCTGAACCCTAAACCCCCGAAAAAAGGACTAGGATGGCCCATTGAAGCCCTCTGCAAAAATATCCCCGAACATGGCCCTCTTAAACCCCATAAGGAAAATTTTCCCAAGGTGGGCGAACAGCCCTCCGAAACCTAAACCCTAAACCCCCTAAACACTCTAAACCCTATTGCCACCAATGGCTCCAAGCCAACCCGAAGCCGGCCAAATGATGCTTAGGGTTTAGCCCAAAACCCTGAACCCCCAAAACCCCGAAACCCCGAAACCCCAAAACCCACAACCCCAAAACCCCAAAACCCCAAAACCCCAAAAACCCCAAAACCCCAAAACCCCAAAACCCCCAAACCCCAGAACCCCAAAACCCCCAAACCCTGGACCCTGAACCCTAAACCCTAAACCCTGGACTCTAAACCCTTAACTACTAGCCCTACACCCTAAACCCTAAACCCTAAACCCTAAACACTCTGATGAGAAGCATCAGGCTTGGCAGCGAGCTCCGTGAACAAGGGCTGGTGCTTGTCCTCTTTGGGGTTTAGGGTTTAGGGTTTAGGGTTCAGGGTTTAGGGTTTAGGGTTTAGGGTTTAGGGTTTAGGGTTTAGGGTTTAGGGTTTAGGGTTTAGGGTTTAGGGTTGGGATGTTCCCCCTTACCCGAACGGTCCTTACTAGGGATTATATTAAGGGGTACCATAATCCCTATCAAGGACTGTTAGTATAGGCGGGAACATCTCAAGTGTAGGGTTTAGGTTCTTCCTTCTCAGGGCAATCTGGGGATTACTATCTTTTGCACTTCTTGAGGGTTTCTTCAGCAGATGGTAATTTCGGGTCTGCAGTTTAGCGTTGAGGGCGGCGTTGATTGGCTTCAGGCCTTTTTTGACCCTAGACCCGAAACCCGAAAATCCTCAACCCTAAACCCGAAACCTTTAGGAGTTGTGGGGTAGTTTAGGGCGTCTCGCGTCGTTCGGTTGAGGGCTTCGGGCTCCTTCAGCCAGAGGATTCAGTGGCGGGGGGGGGGGGGGGGGGGGGGGGGGGGAGGGGGGGGGGGGGGAGGGCGGGGGGAGAGGGGGGTCTTGGGCTTTCGGGTTCAGACATCTGTCTGCCTATGTTTAATGCTTTTGGGTGTAGCTTCTATTGAAGTTCTTAAGGGGATGATGTCGATAAGAAATTAGACTCCTGCACTAAGAGAAGGTCTAGGTGGTGGGTGATACAGTCAATGGTATGCCGCGGAACAGTCACATCTGAGCGCCAATGGCAGCATCCGAAATGCCGGATGTGTCGGTGTGAGCACCGGACGTACTTGGAGGTTCATGGCATCTGTTTCTACTTAACCATGTTAGGGCACTTAAGTGGCTTATAAGTGGGTTATAAGTACCTTTATGATTGGTTAGTACGTACCATGAACCTCCAAGTATCCAGGGAATGCATGATCTCAGCATGATCATTGAGATGCCAGCATCGAAGCTGTGGTACCGTGGGTGTCGGCCGCGTCGATGTGAGCACCGGCCTCCAGCAAACAGCGGACCACCTCATCATGGCCTTCATGCGATGCCCTCATCAGAGCCGTGTCGCCCTTATTGCTGGCCAAGTCGATGTGAGCACCGGCCTCCAACAGCAAACGCACGACCTCGATGCGGCCATTCTGAGATGCCACCATCAGTGCCGTGGCACCAGTATTGTCGGCCAAGTCGATGTGAGCACCGGCCTCCAGCAACGATCGCACGACCTCAATGCGGCCTCTTCGCGATGCCACCATCAGAGCTGTCTCGCCGCTTCTGTGCGCCAAGTCGATGTGAGCCCCGGCCTCAAGCAGCAAACGCACGACCTCTGCGTGGCCATTTATAGATGCTAGCATGAGAGCTGTGGCACCATTGTTGTCGGCCATGTCGGTGTGAGCACCGGCCTCCAACAGCAATCGCACGACCTCAACGTGCCCGTGATGAGATGCCAGCACCAGAGCTGTGTCGCCATGATCGCTGGCCAAGTCAGTTTGAGCGCCGGCCTCCAACAGCAAACGCACGACCTCCATTTGGGGGGGTCTCCGAAGTTCGGGGTACCTTACTGCGGTCCTTATGATAAGGGAATCGTACTGTTTGGGGGCTGATGTTTGGTGTCCCTAAACCCTAAACCCTAAACGCTAAACCCTGAACCCTAAACCCTAAACCCTTATTCTCGCAAGCCTCCATGTCGCCAATTTGCGATGCCACCATCAGAGCTGTCTCGCCCTTCGAGTTGGCCAAGTCCGGGTCGCAAGGATGCTGCAGCAGGGACTCTACCTGGGGTTTAGGGGTTAGGGGTTTAGGGGTTTAGGGGTTTAGGGTTTAGGGGTTTAGGGTTTAGGGTGTAGGGTTTAGGGGTTTAGGGGTTTAGGGTTTAGGGCTTAGGGTTTAGGGTTTAGGGTTTAGGGTTTAGGGTTTAGGGGTTAAGGGTTTAGGGTTTAGGGGTGTAGGGGTTAGGGGTTTAGGGTTTAGGGTTTAGGGTTTAGGGGTTTAGGGGTTTAGGGCTTAGGGTTCTTGACATTATGCTGGGCGTTGGAATCTGGCCTGCTTTGCAGGGTTGTAGGTTTTAGGGTCCGGGGGTTTAGGGTCTAGGGTTTGGGGGTTTAGGGGTTTGGAGGGTTAAGGGGTTGAGGGGTTGAGGGTTTAAGGGTAACGCTTGTGAAGTTTGGAGAGCGCCACTGGTTGAGGATGGCAATGCATGGCAAGGTCGACCGCAAGCGCTGAACCCCTGAGCACCCAGGCCACGCCCTCTGAACCCGAAACCCTAAACCCTAAACCCTAAACCCCAGTTTGTGCAGACACCAGCCTCGGCCATCGAGCGGCGCCAGATGGCTGCCATGAGCTCCGTCTTCAGCTCGGGCGCTGCGCGATGCGAAAGCACAAGGAGCTCCAGCTCCATGGGAGAGTCGATCCTTCTTGGTTCCCCAGTAACCAATTGGGGTTCAGGATTTAGGGTGTAGGGTTTAGGGTTTAGGGTTCCCCAGTAATGAGTTGGGGTTCAGGGTTTAGGGTGTAGGAACAGAAGAACCCACGAAAAAGGCTGAATGTTACGTACTCTACTACTAAGGATCAGGGTAGCATCCTCCAGATTCTGGCCGTTCAGAAGCCTTAGAGTTGCTGAGTTCATAAGCACCCAAAAAAAGTGTGCAGCTTTGTTAGTTCCAGGGGAGTATAGCATCCCAAAAAGTGCATCAAGGTGCATTAATTCAGCTACGAAGAAGCAGTCTTTGCCGGAAACGGGGGGGGAGGCCATGCAGCCGATGCAAATGCTGCTTCAGGGCCATCACATTTCCCAGCTCAGCTTGCAGCGGAACTGCCAGCTCTTCGCCCGAGAGCAGCCGAATTTGAAGCATCGAAGCTGAACGCAGAACACTATAAAACCCTAAACCCGATAAACCCTACAACTCTAAAACCCTGAAACCCTAAACCCCAAACCTTAAACCCTAAACCCTAAACCCTGAACCCCAACAGCAACTCCAGGACCAAAACCCTAAAACCTAAAGCCCTAAGCCACAACCCTAAACCCTAAACCCTAAACCCTCAAGCCTTGGACGGGCGAACAGAAGCCTGACGAGCCAGGCTGCGCACAGCTACAAGACCATACTCAAGATACGCAGAGGGGGGGGGGGGGAGGGTGGCTTGTCATTGGTACCCCAAACCCTAAACCCTAAACCCTAAACCCTAAGCCCTAAACCCTAAACCCTAGACCCTAAACCCTAAACGCCAAAAAGCCAGGTGAAACCTGAGGGCCAGCAGCCCCAATCCAACACCCTCAACCTCATCTGGGGAATTCCCAGTAGCCGGGGTTTAGGGTTTGTTTAGGGTTTAGGGTTTAGGGTTTAGGGTTTAGGGTTTAGGGTTTAGGGTTTAGGGTTTAGGGTTTAGGGTTTAGGGTTTAGGGTTTAGGGTTTAGGGTTTAGGGTTTAGGGTTCAGGGCAACCATTCTGTACCCCAAGCAATTGCGCTTAAGGGCCACGGCAACCCTCAACCCTCAGCCCTCAACCCCAAATCTTCCCCAACCCTAAACCCTACACCCTAAACCCTAAACCAGCAACACCAAAACCCTCCTCTGCCAGGATGGCGTTGCCAGGAATCAGGCCATACTTGTCGAAGGTATCCTGCAGCGTCTCACCCCGCAGTAGGGGAGGGGGGGGGGGGGATGGGGGTGGGGGGCGGGGTAGAGTTTTCAGGGCTTCTTGGGGTGTTCAGGATCTTAGGTTTCAGAACTTACGGTACCTAAGGCCCCTCCAGCCAAACTCCTGCGGAGCCAACCCTCCCCCAAAATCTAGACTCTTGTTTTGACCCTCTGCCCATGCCCCTATGAACCAGAAAGAAGATCGGGCCCAAACACACCTGCAAAAATACGGCCTTAAAGCAAAACCCGGAAACCCTTCATGCAAAACCCTGAAACCCTTAAACGCAAACCCTGAAATCCGAACCTGTTTCGGCACAACTTCGCAGCCCGTCCTGCCCCACCTCTGCAGAGATGTCGAGCCTGGGAACAAGAGATGGGCGTTTCGGCCGCAACATGTAGGGGGGACTCTATTTACCTACAGTTTAGTAGTAACTACCCCTTAATTAGTAGGCATAACCCATAACACTGTAGGTAAAGAAGGCGCCAGGTAAGAGTCAAGGCGTCGATTAGGGTTTCAGATTCAGGGTTTAGGGTTGGGGCCTCGGGCTTAGGCACGTTTAGATGGGGCTTAAGGCCGGAGATTCAGATTTGGGCACAGGAGCGAAGTGAGAGAGAGTTGCACCTCAAGCTAAGGGTTGATGTCCTTGGGGCTGTAGATCCTCAGGGTTTAGGGGCGTTCATATCAGGGCTTTGTGGGGTTTAAGGGCTTCGAGAGTTCTTTGAGGGCTTTAGGGCTACTCCCGAACCCTAAGCCCTAAACCCTAAACCCCAAACCCTAAACCCCAAACCCTAAACCCTAAACCCTGAAATTGCTCTTCAAAGACGCAGAGGGTTGCCCATGCCCAGGATAGCCGCCATTGCTGCGACAAGAGGAGGATTGGTGGGTGCAGAGGCTGTGTCCTGGGGGCAAGAAGGCTGCAGACAAAGACCTGGCTGGTTCTTAGTTAGGGAATGGGGGAATGAGGGCCCTATACTCCCTTGAAGGGTATATATATATATACAGATATATATATATATATAATCCCTTAAAGGGTACATATAGGGCCCTGATTCCCTGATTCCCTACTAAGAACCAGGGGGAAGAGGCACATGTCGGAGGCGCAGCTGTCGACCTAAAATTGCAGTCTTAGAGGGTCCGCATATCAAATAGCGGTACGAATTTAGGAAGCAAGTGACAAGACTAATTGATGCAAGAAGGGCTTTATAGAAACTCGAGATTACCTAAGCCACAAACCCCTACTTTTATCATATAAGCTGTGCCCTAAACCCCCAAACCCAAAACCCTAAACCCTGAACCCTAAAGCCTAAACCCTAAACCCTAAACCCTAAATAAACCCTAAACCCCAAACCCCAAACCCTAAACCTTAAACCCTAAACCCTAAACCCTAAACCCTAACTGCCAAGACGAAATGGGCGCCTAAGAGCACCGCATCCCAGGCCGCCAAGGCTATACGCCAGATGGACACCTCCGCAACGTCGCGGTCTGGGGTCCAGGGGTTCGCGCTTTAGGGTTTAGGGTTTAGGGTTTAGGGTTTGGGGTTTGGGGTTTAGGGTTTGGGGTTTGGGGTTAGGGCTTTTCTGAGCAACTCTAAGGTTAAACCCTCATACCTTAAGCCCTCACACACCATCGCGGCCTTCCCGGCTTTTCCTCACAGCCCTGAAGCAATAAAGGTTAGGGTTTTAAAGGTTCAGTAACTTTGGGAATGGGGAACGAGGGCTTAGGGTTCAGGGTCTAAGGGTTCAGGGCTTGCCCTAAACCCTAAACCCTAAACCCTAAACCCTAAACCCTAAACCCTAAACCCTAAACCCTAACCCCTGAAGAAGCCCCGAAAACCTTTAAAAGAGATCTCTGCTCGGCGCACCCCTGGCTTGGGAAGAGTCCACCGCACCTGCGTTCTGGGAAGCGGCTGAGGGATTCGGTAGGGCTCATAGGGCTTAGGGCTTAGGGCTTAGGGCTTATAGGGCTAAAGGGCTAAAGGGTTTAGGGCTACGGGCTTAGGGCTTAGGGCTTAAGGGCTAAGGGCAAAGGGCAAAGGGCAAAGGGCAAAGGGCTTCGGGCTTAGGGCTCAAGGGCTAAGGGCTAAGGGCTTAGGGCTTAGGGCTCAGGGCTTAGGGCTTCTAGGGCTTAGGGCTTACTTAGGGCTTAGGGCTTAAACAAGGGGGAAGAGGCTTAGAGGATTTGGTTTTTCCCGTTTGCACCTTTGGGTGGCAGTCTTGGGGTTTAGGGTTCAGGGCCCGCGCAGGGTTTAGGGTTTAGGGTTCAGGGTTCAGAGTTTAGGGTTTAGGGTTTAGGGTTTAGGGTTTAGGGTTTAGGGTTTAGGGTTTAGGGTTTAGGGTTTAGGGTTTAGGGTTTAGGGTTTAGGGTTTACGGTTTAGGGTTTAGGGTTTAGGGTTTAGGGTTTAGGGTTTAGGGTTTACGGTTTAGGGTTTAGGGTGGATCTGGGCTTCAGTCAGACGCAGAGGACTCCGGCCTACTATGCTGGAGGACGGGGTCCGGGGCTGGAGGCGGTAGAACCCACGAACCCCTCTGTGTGCCAGGTTGGCAGGGTTTAGGGTTTAGGGTTTAGGGTTTGGAGTTTAGCGTTCAGGGTTTAGGGTTTAGGGTTCAGGATAATGAAGCGGTACTCTTCCCCCCACTTTGTAACTAGTACTTAGAACCTGCGTGCCTTTTCGTATGGCCCTCAACCCTAAGCTCTAAAAGCCATCAACCTTATCAACCCTATCAACCCCAAACACCAATAGGTGCAGCCCCAAAGCAAAGCTCGATTGCCCTGGGTCGTCCAGTACGTTCAAGATTTAGGGTCTTGGCTTTCGGGGTTTAGAGGTTTCGGACCCCACGGTTTTGAGGTTTGTGTGGTTTAGGGTTCAGGGTAGTGGGTTTACTCAAGGGGCAAGGGCGCCTGCAGTTTAGCGGCACCTCTCCATTGGTAGGTGCAACGCATAGGTCTCAGATCCTACTATAGGGGGCTTAATAGTCAGAATAGGATTTTTTTTTTTGGGGGGGGGGGGGGTAATTGTCGTATAATTATAAGGAGACCAGAAGGGCATACCATTAGTAACTATTCCGACCTCTGTATTACGCCCGAAACCCTGGGCCACACACGTGCTCTTGTTTTAGGCCGCGGTGACATGCCACGACCTCGCAGGGTCTTGCTCAAAAACACGTTGCCCTCGGGCCTCCCTCGCGTTTCGAAAAATCGGAGAGGCTGGGACACCCTGCACCCCAGACCCCAAATACGAAACCCCTAAACCCCTAAACCCTAACCCCCAAACCCTAAACCCTGAACCCTAAACTACAGGGTTGTTGATCTTGTTTTGGTGTGCATGGCACGCTTGTGAAACAGGACCTTGCCGGTGCTCATCAGTGACGCCTGTGGCCGCATGGAAGAAGCCACTGAAACCCAAAACCTTAAAGGGTTTTGGGCTTATTAGGGCTTAGGGTTTAGGACTTTAGGGCCTAGGGTTTGGGGCTTAAGGAAAGATCTCAGCCACCTAAACCCAAGACCGTAACCCCTAGGCTCAAAATAGCCCAAGAACCCGATATAACAAGGCGTTGGGCCCAAAAGCCCTGAAACAAGGGTCCTTGGAGCCTTAAGGTAAAGGGCTTTGGGCCTATTAGGGCTTAGGGTTTAGGGCTTTAGGGCCGGGGGTTTAAGGTTGAGGGTTTAGAGAATGTTGAAACAAAGGCTTCCGCCGTCAACCATTGGTGCCACTCAGACAGCTCCCCAGGCGTTGCCACCTCGGAGAGACTTCGGCGTGGGGAATGTGGTCCTAAACCCTTAAACCCTAAAATCAACCCTAAACCCAAATCCCTAAACCCTAAAGCAAGAAAACCATACACCCCGAACCCCTAAACCTGCTAATCCTAACCTAATCCTAAACCCTGAATCCTAAACCCTAAACCCTAAACCCTAAACCCTAAACCCTAAACCCTAAACCCTAAACCCTAAACCCCCAAACGCCGGCCTCAGAGAAGCTCGGGCTTGTTGAAGTAGATCCAGAAGAGCACGGCAGGGCCCAGGCCTTATTATGGGGCCCTTCTGGGGTTTAGGGTTTAGGGTTTAGGGTTTAGGGTCTAGGGTTGAGGGTTGAGGGTTGAGGGTTGAGGGTTTAGGGTTTAGGGTTTAGGGTTTAGGGTTTAGGGTTTAGGGCTGAAGGTGTGTGACCCAAGGTCCCCTAGTAATCTCCACTACCCCCTAAGGTTCCCTAAGCTTCCCTAAGGTTCCCCAGGTACCTACCACCATGAATCCCCCTCCCTTACGGACCCAACAACCTTATGAACAGCGCAGTAGGAGGCGCTACACAGTTCAGGGTTTAAGGTGGGATTAGCCCTAAACCCTGAACAGGCCCAAGCCCCTTAGCCCTAACTCTTTTCGCTTGCTTGCGGTTGCCGGTCAGATCTTTGAGCCCGCGCCTCGACCTCTAATCTCAATGCAGTAGGCTTCGGGGCTTAGGGTCTAGGATTTAGGGTTTAGAGTTTAGAGTTTAGGGCTTGGGGCTTAATGTTTGGAGTTTGGCATCCAGTCGCAGGTGTAGAGCCTCGTGTATAGAATTCAAAGTTTGGTGCTTTTGGGCTTTAAAACTTAAGGTGTTGGAGATCTTCACCAAACTGAATCTCTCACCCTCGAGTGGCAGTAGACCCTCTCGCCAAGCGAAGCGAACAACATCCGTACAAGCCTTCTCCAGGAACCAATGCCACAGTAAGGGGCTTCCTGCAAAAAACACACACGTTGTCTACTATTGAACCACGTTAAAGATAAAGATACTCTTCCTTAGCAGGGCATATGCTAGTATTTGCAAAAATAATAGCTATTAGCGTCTGGGTGCCGCCTTCAAGACAGCATGGTGTGAAACAATCGTATGTCTGCGCTCGGCCTGGGGTTTGACCCTAGACCCTAAACCCTAATTAAACCTAAAACCCAAAACCCTTTCGTATGATAATGCTTGGTGGGCATCCCTGTACCATGCCGTGTGCCATAGACCCTAAACCCTAAACCCGAAACCCTAGACTAAACCCACCTCTCGCACTCCCAAGCTTCCCACTGATGATGAAGACCGCCCAGCCAAGCTGAAGCAGCGCATAGCCTTGAAGGCTGTTCGTGGGGTTTGCATGGTTTTGGGGGTTTTGGGGTTATAGGGTTCTTGGGTTACAGAGTTATAGGGTTATACATAGGGTTTATAAGGCTATCGGGTTCATAGTAGGGCTAAAGGTTATTCATGTTCAGTTTTATTTGGGGGGGGATCAGGGGATTTGAGGGTTTAGGATTGTGGCCTTTCATGGTCCAAGTGGGCGGTCGTTTGGGGTTCAGGTCAGGAAACCCTAAACCCTGTTCCAAAGGCAATCTTTAGGGGAATGAGTTGGGTTTGGAGTCTTTGGCCATCCCCAACCCCTCTCAGAGTTTAGGGCTTTCAGGGTTCGGAAAGTTGAGTCTCGTGGCAGGAGATAACCCTTAAACTGACTCCGAAATCCTAAGTTCCGGTAATCGTCGCATGAAGATAACCCTAGACTGAATCCAAAACCCTAAATTCTGGCAATGGTCGCCAGATCGGCAACAGAGGAACCCATGGCAAATTCGTGAAGTTCACGGACACGGCATACGCAGCCGCTCACATCGCTTCCAGACCGAGAATCAGGGCACCGACGCCCGACATCAGAAATTCCGGCATCGCATGCACGCCCCATGCCCTACCAATGGCTTCAGACTAGTACAAAAACCTACGCCACGGACCCGAAACCTTAACCCCTAAAGCCTTACCACTGGCCGCCCCCCAAGTACCCTCACAAGGGCCTAAGTGTACCTTGACGGGGAGGGTAGAGCGGGGCCCAGGTAATCCACCTTGCTTCATCCCTCAACCCT